AATTATGGCATGTCACAAAACCAGGGGTTTTCAAACTGGGGTCTAGGGGGTTTGTGGAAGTTTGGAGAAAAGCAGTGCAGAAAATAAAAAATAAAAAAATTATAATAATAAATGTAAGATTAAATGAAATAAATAAATATTTGATTAAAAATGTATTTTTATTAAAATAAATAACAAATATTTGCTTATAATAAATAAATAACAGTGCATCTAAATATTCTCTAAATATTTTTAGACATTTTTTAAAATACATATATTTACATGATACATGAAAATATATAGTTGCCTTTTAAATTTTAGATGGCGTCCCTTGCACACGGATGTTCATTTTTGGAAGTCCGTGGCATTGAAAACCCTATGTTAAACCACTTGAAATTTCATGTCAGCTACTTAGAAATTAATGCACCCATATATAATATGCTGTTTGGTTTCAAAAGTCTAAAGTCTGTGATTACTTAAAAACATGAGAACCTGCAGGAAATAACGAATGAGGTCTCAAGATCTCAATTGTTCTTCACAGAGATTAAGTGAAGTGCTGAAGGTTTGGGATATATATCTTGAGAAAAGGCCTCTATAATCTCAAGTTTCTCCTTTAGTGTTTCAGAAGAGATCTCAACATTGTCTCAATTAGTCAGAGATGTGATCTTCACCTTGTTTTTTTACCAGGCCTCCGCTTCCTTTCGACTGTATGCTGAAACCTCCTCATACTGGCTCTTCACATCAGCCAGGATCTTCTCCATTTTCAGCTGCCTGCTGTTGTTCATCTGCACCACACCAGACGTGTCCTTCACATCAGCCTGCAGCTCACGCAGCTCCTACAGAGAAAGAGAGGTAAAGTAAAGTCCTCCGATTAATCTCAGGACATTTCATTCATGCATGAGTTTGCATTACCTGTTCAAAGAAGCTCTAGAAAAAGTTCAGGTCGTCCAGGATTGCTGCTATTTTATCTTCCAAGGCATTTTAACACAAGTATGAAGTATCCACATCCTGTCAGGACAGTATACACTCTAAAAAATGCTGGGTTGTTTCAACCTAATGTTGGGTCACATATGGACTAACCCAACTGTTGGGTTCAATTTTGGTTGCATTTTTAAATGAGCTTTTTAACCCAACAGTTGGGTTAGTGCATATTTGACCCAACTTTGGGTTGAAACAAC